TGTCATATTGGGTTAGGTCTGCCCTAATGACCTCACTTTAACTCGAGTACCTCTGTAAAGACGCAATTTGCAAAGAAGGCCATCTTCTGAGTAACAGGGGTTAGGACAGTGGTTCTCAACCTTCTGGCCCTTTAAATACAGTTCCTCATGTTGTGACCCAACCATAAAATTATTTTCATTGCTACTTCATAACTGTAATGTTGCTACTGTTATAAGTTGTAAATATCTGATATGCAGGATGGTCTTAGGCGCCTGTGAAAGAAGGGTCGTTCGACCCCCAAAGGGGTCACGACCCACAGGTTGAGAACCGCTGCTCTAACACATCTGTTAACACATCTGACATCTCACACTTCTCAAGTTCACTGCTGCAGAGGATTCTAGGTGAAATGTGTACTCTCCCTTCTCCGAGTCCCTTTCTCACAAAGGGCTCCACTTATATGTTATGATCAATCCTGATACTGCTGAAGAGCCACAGATTTTTGCAAAGGTATGTTACTCTTTCAAAGAACTGCAGATGAGAAGAGAAAATATGCAAAAGATAGGTAGCAAGTGAACCAAGCAATTGTCAGGTAAGTCGTCTCAACACTCTTTTCGAGCTTTTACTCATTTGGAGAACAATCTCATGATCTAAGGTCTAGAGCAGTGGTTCTCAACCTTCTGGCCCTTTAAATACAGTTCCTCATGTTGTGACCCAACCATAAAATTATTTTCGTTGCTACTTCATTACTGTAATGTTGCTACTGTTATGAAATAAGTTGTAAATATCTGATATGCAGGATGGTCTTAGGCGACCCCTGTGAAAGGGTCGTTCGACTGTCAAAGGGGTCGTGACCCACAGGTTGAGAACCACTGGGTTAGGACTTCAACATATGGATTTGGTGGGAGGGGACCCAGTTCAACCCATAACAGTCTATTTATTATTACTATAACTTATTGTGATTTTAGTATGTAGTCTACCTTTCGAGCTCATTGAGCTATTCTAAGCTCTTTGTATAAAAATTCAGTTGATGGCTAAGAGGTGAATATTATGATCTATCTTTACAAATGAGGTAACTGGGGCATAAAGAGATGAAGTAACTTTCTCAAAGCTGAACAGCTAGTAAATGGCAGATTCAGAAAATGAAACCAGTCCAGCTGCCTCAGTCCATGCATTTAAGCACCAGTCTGTCCTGCCTGTGTGAGCAAAGCTGAGTCCTTTCTCTCCGGGATCTCACAGTCCAGACCTTGGTCCTTTCAAAGGGCTGGAGTCATGCAAGGTGAAGGAAGACCCATTGTGACCAAGGGACTAGGGAAGGCTTCCCAGGGAAGTGATATCTTAACTGAGTCTTAAATGAAGTGAAACTAAGCATTCCGGAGAAAGAGAGTGTGCATGCAGCAATAACAGACTGGAACACAAGCGATGTGAGGCCAGGGGGCTGGAGTGGGAACACATAGGGCAAGTACCAGAGCACCTTGGCCTTGTCAGCCAGGTGAAAGGGCTGGGCTCTACCCCACAGGCAATGGGGAACAACTGAAGTGGGTACAGCAGGGAAGTGACATGACCAATTTCACCTGTTAGAACCAGCGCTCCTGTGGAGATGGTGGGTACACAGTTTGGAGGAGTAGAGCTTGACTCCATGGGAAGCTAACAATGGGTCAGTGCTGGAGTCAGCCCTGCAGGTGTACAGGCCACTTAATGTTTCACCATCAAGGACTAAACAACACAGTCCAGTGCAGCCCAGTCTCTGTGCACAAACGAAAGGGAGATGGCCAGTCTTTTGGAATTGTGACTGATGATCTTCCCTTTTTCCCTTCTCAGAAATGCCTTGGAACTCACAGGAAGCCTCGCCCCTGACAGTCTGATCTTAATCCCAGGGCACTCTACTCTCCCATATACTAAACACTCGGGTGCACCCAACATCATGCTAGATGATAATCTAGTATCTTAATCATACCTCCTGCCTGGGCCTCTCCTTGAACTATAAACCCAAATATCCAACTGCCTACTTGGACCCTCACCTTCCAACTTACTGTGAATACAGCTGACTCCTGATCTTTCTGCAAATCTGTTCCATCTTTTTCTTTTTTTAATATATTTTATTGATTTCAAAGAGGAAGGGATTATCTACTAAAAGAAAGCATTTGAGGATAAAAAAAAAAAGAGGAAAGGAGCGGGGAGAGAGAGAAACATCAATGATGAGAATCATTGACTAGCTGCCTAGTCAATGGGGATCTGGGGATCGAACCCACAACCCAAGCATATGCCCTGACCGGGAATCAAACCACGACCTCCTTGTTCATAGGTCGATGCTCAACCACTGAGCCATGCTGGCTGAGCAAACCTGTTCTATCTTAAATCATCTCATTAAATGTCAATTCTTCCAGGTTCCCAGGCTTCACAACTGCAAGCCCCTTTCTTTCACATTATTTTTGTCCCAGGCATCAGTAAATCCTGTTAACTCTACCTTTACTGACCAGAATCTGACCATTTCTAGCCACCTTCACTGCCAAGGCTGTTCTGAGCCACCGTGCCCACCTGCTTAGATTTCGACAACAGCCTCCTACCTGGTCAGACAGCTTCTAGCCTTGTTCTCTCTCATCATTTGTTTTCACAACAGCCAGATGATCCTTTTAAAATATAAATGGGATCTCCACATGCTACTCACAACACTCAGGTGCTCTCCATCTCACTCAGGGAGGAATGTGAAGTTCCTGCAATGGTCTCCAGGGCCCCACCCGGCTGACACTGCCTCCCACCACTCTCTCCTTTGCGGCCTTTCTAGCCATTTCATTGCTCCTTGAACACACCAGGCAAGCTTCTGCTCTGAGCCTTTACATGTACGTACTTAAATCTCTCTGTAGAACAGTGGTTCTCAACCTTGGCTGCACATTAGAATCACCTGAAAATCTTTTTAAAATCCTGATTTTTGGGCCTTATCCTCTGGAAATTCTGTTTCTTTGTTATGGGGTGAGGCCACAACATTAGTAACGAAACAAAATAAATTTCTGGAGGATGAGGCCCAGAAATCAGGATTTTAAAAAGATTCCCAGGTGATTCTAATGTGCAGCCAAGGTTGAGAACCACTGCTGTAGAAAGTCCTTCCCTAAGATATCCACATAATCAACTCTTTCACTCCTTCAAGTGTCTGCTCTAAAGTCACCTCACAGCCATGCCTTTCTTAAAACAGCAGCCTCTCCCACTGCCTCTCTATCCTTAAGCCCTTCCCTGCTGACTAAAAAAACAAAACAAAAAACAAAATCCTCCTTTTAAAATGAGAAATAACCCATATTTCTCTTTCGATCATTTTTCCCTTTCTCTGAGCAGAAAAAGTTGCAGAGCCACATTAGTTTAGCCCATAAAAATGTCATTAGCTAACATGCCCTTTTGTACATTTTCCTCTAAATTGCCTAACATTCTACCTGTTTTGCTATTGTAATCCTTGCTAGCGATGCCTGACTTATAACTGACACTCAGTATTTGTTATTGACAGATCTAAGGTCACGCTCCAGCCCTGCTACCGGCCAGCTGTGTGATATTGAGCGAGTGATAACCTTCTGACCGCCAGTTTCCTCTCTCGCTCAAAACAACAAACAAACAAACAAACAAAACAGGGCAAATGCAAATGGCATTGACCTCGCTGTGTTGCCATGCAGATGAACTGAAATAGTGGATGCCAGTGCACATCCTGGAACATCAGAAAGGGCAAACTATATGTCCGATTCTTTTTCCTACAACCACACCAAACCTATTTATTCAGCTTCACATTTTTTCATGAAGGAGGAGCTTTACGAAGGTTGCTAAACTGCAAGGTGTTGTGTGTGTG